GATACAAAATTCCTCTGTTTTTAATTTTCCGATTTCGAGAAGGCTTTCTGCTAAGTGGCATACGCTGCTCATACTGCATTCTTCCAGTACAGGGACATAGCCCGGTGTACGTGTCAGTTGTCGAAGAGCCTCTCACCGGATCAAAATACTCTTTCCAACAAGCCCATAGGGATAGGATTTGGCAGAGTCGGATTTGGCAGACATCCTCCCAAAGTTTTTAGTAACACGCTTGAAAACGCGCTGATAAAAGCTCATGAATTGAAAAGCAAAGAGTTCTTGTATCCCCAAACGCCTATTTTCAAACACATTGAGCATATGAAAATGCTAAGTCTTCCTTTCTTTATCGCTGGTCATGCTGGCCTGTGGTGGACGCCGCATTATCGGCTCGGGCTCTGTCTCGTAGCAAAATGTCAAAACCAGCAATTCGAAAATGCTGTAAAGTAAAATCTGTAATAGATAAAATTAATGGAAGATCCCCATATCAACTATCTGGCCGCTTCCATCCAGAAGTGTTGATGAAGATGAATTCTGGCTCGAGTTTTACAGATGATCTGGATATCGCACCAGATTTTTTCGAATACTTCAGTGCCACTCGGCGGCTGCTTGATATTGACAAAACCCTGTACTGCGTGTCAGCTTGGAACGATAACGGCAAAGCGCACTTGATTGATTTGAGTCAACCAGAGCTGCTCTATCGCAGCGATTTCTTCCCTGGACTCGGATGGATGATGACCAGGTAAGCTGAATGTGCTTAATGTTTCACGTACTTCAAGCCGTAATTCTGTAGAAGAGAGCTGAGTGATATTTTTTAATAAATAGCAGCGTGCAACAGAATAGCTGGTGGGATCGTGCGTTTTGTACAATTCCGTCCACAGAACGACTGCCTGTTAACGATTTTCGCTGCTTTGCACTTTGGTCTGTGCAAAAATAGTTGAAATGTTGAAAAATAATTAAAAATTTCATGCGTTGGCATGTGAAAGCTGGATTTGAAACCTCGAGGAATGAATGTCCCTCCAAAATTTCAATATCCTAATTTTCTGGCTTTCGAATGATCTTTGAGACAAATTTTCGCGTGGTCCTACGTGAGATCTCGGCATCCTTTAGGAACTGAATTCGAGTTTATGAAGCCCCTCCTTAGGAAAGAAACATTCTCCTGGAATTTTCAGCCTCCTTACTCTTCTGGCTCCCGTGTCACATAATATATCAAATAATAATTTGTTTTTTGTTAGAAATGGCATAAGGAACAATTGCGCCACTATGGTACAATATCCCGATCCTTGGTTCAAACTTTGGACACCCTACCCCGTTAATGTTTTGCAGTCCTATTAATCCCTAACCATGAGTATAAAAGCAATCCTTCCCATTTCGGAGCCTTAGAGCTATTACAGCTACTCGAGAAAGCTACTCCCTGTCGACTTTT